GGCAAGTTTCGAAAACAAACGGGTACCAATCTGAATTTTTGATATGTGATACAACTTTTGATTCTCTACAGAATAGTAAAAAAAGCGTACCTTCGACGCGAAACAGACTCTCTCCTAAATGATGATTTTTCAATAGGAAACGAAAGTTTCGATTGATTTTCATGACTATAACATGTTTATTAAGCAAAACGAATGTGATATTCGGAATCAGCACTAAAAACTGCATCGAATCAAATTTATTTTCGAGTATTTTTTTTCTATGAAAAAACTGACCTGTACTCCCCCACAGCTATATCTTTTTCCGTGGCCCCCACGGGTGAATTTTTCATAGAAAAAAAATTTGATTCGATGCAGTTTTTAACGCTGATTTTCGAATATCACATTTATTTTGCTTAATAAACGTATTACGGTCAATTCTGACCAGTGCCTCGGTACCTTGGTCCTCTCGTCGACTCTCTCTTAAAAAGACTTTGTTTTAGTGGAAAAAATTTTTGTTTTTTTTGTGCAATCGAACTCAAACTATGGTAGGGCATACCAACGATGAATTGACAATAACTTCACTATCGACATTGTCATCATCAATGATTATTACTCATCATGAATATTTTGAACCGTATCCAACTGTTAAAGATTGGTTTAAAAAAAAGATCAATAATCTTAAAGACAAAATCAAACATTATTTTCTATCCTATTTACCATTTCTCAATTGGATCTATCGATATAATTTCGGGTGTGGGTGTGGGGTGTGGGTAGAGTCCGGCGGTTCCAATCTTATTGGAACCGAGAACCGAACCGGATCCGAAATTTTTTCAGTTTCTCAGATCCGGATTTGGAACCGGATCCGTGAAATAAAAACGGATCCGACCGGAACCGGATCCGTTGGAACCGAAAATTTTTTTCAGGACGACTAGAGTCATCTATGTTTAATCGTTCTTGAATCACTGTTGAACAAAAAAATTTTCATCCATTCCCGATATAGAATGTTAATTGTAAACAAACAGAAAGAAACAAAGAATTTAGTTGTATACACTTATAGAGAGAGTCAACAATAGTTTATTATTTTGTAATTTATTTTTTAGATTTTGTGTGAAGACATCACCGGTGTGTAAGAAAATTATTATTAATGGAATGGACGATTCCTCATTGACAAAAGAAAAAATTATACAGTTGATCAGGAATTATGATGCAAGTTTAACATTTGTAAAACCCAAAACATCATCATCTCCAGTTTGGTCTTCTTTCAGTTATGTCTTTATTAGTAATCGAAAAAAAGATTTTGTTTGTTGCGATAAATGCAAAGATGTTCGACATCATAAATCAGACTCTGGCACAAGTAATATGATCAAACACATCAAATCATGTCAAACAACCAGCAAAGATATTCCAAATGCTTCTCTTACTATTAAAGAATATCTTCGTTCTAAAACTGCTCAACCTATTTCAAGAATATTCAAAGAAAAAATTACAGATGCAACTGTTGAATTTGTTGCTGTAGATAATCGTGCATTTGAACTTGCATCTGGTGACGAGTTTATTAATTTAGCTCAAACAATATTCAATGTTGGTCAAGATTTATCTAAGACACCAGGTGTTAATGTTTTGGATTTAATACCGAATCCAAGAACTGTAAGTAAATATTATATAATAAACCTGTGAAATAAATAAATAGAGAATTTCTTAGTTTACTAAAGAAAGCCGTTTTATTTCTTTTATTTACTACTAGGTCAGTCGGAACATCGATCGATTATACCATAACAAAAAGCCTCAGCTGATAAAATTATGTGAAAATATGAAATATTATACAATTGTAGTAGATTTCTGTACTGCCTCACACACCGGTAAGAATGTATTTTCTAACAAAGCTGTTTATATTTTATGAAAAAAGCGACATGCTTGCAATAATATACTTAATACTATTATTATTAACACTATTTATTTATTTTTCAGGTGTCAGTTTTTGCGGTATTGCTCTTTTCTATTTAAATGATGAATTAAAATTACATGTCTTTATTTTAGGTTGTTTTCCCTATGATCGTGATAATCAAACAGCAAGTCAAATTCGTCAATTTGTTGACAGTAAATTACTGGAATTCAATTTAACCTTAGATAATAGTAAATTCATAGTATGTGATAATGAGAACAAGATGAAATCAGCTTTCAAGGATTCATGCACTAGAATCGGATGTTCAATTAATCCATTATATTAATAAGCAATTGGAACATTGTTTTACCACAGATGTTATTGATGAAGTTCCAGTTAAATGCGAAATTGTTCAACAAATGTATGTACGAAAAATCGTATCCCATACCAGAAGAACACATAAACAAACAAAATTATCTCGTAAACTTCAATCATATTGTGATACACGGTTCAATGGTGCTTTTCTTATGATGGACGTGCTCTTATTGGTGTTCGACGAATTACCTGGTGTTTTAGAACGAGCTCTTATGAATGATTATGAATCAATAGATAAAGATTTACTTTCATGTATTTGCTTATTCCTTAAACCATTTGAGGAAGTAATTGAACAATTTAGTTCTGATACAAAACCAACAATATATAAAGTTTTACCGTTTAAACAATATTTATTGAACCACTGTAAAATTCATCCTGATGATCATGATGGAATTCAACAAGTTAAAACATTTCTGGGTATTTCTTTAATTTCAAAGATTCAGACATCCTCTAAATGTTTTGTACAATTAGGGACATCTAGTAAAATCAGAGAGCCATTTAAGTGTATGATAAAATTAAAAAAAGAGTGGATGCTAATTACGAAATGATTTTTTATTATAACAATGTCTATGAAGCTCGAAATATATCTCGTAATAAAACGTTATGATTTTTTTTTGAAAGATCTGATTTTTCTGTTTAGAAAAACGTATTCAAGACGTTTGGATTATACATGATATACATTACATCACCACATTTTTACATCCATCATTTAAAAATTTCGATAAATGTTCTGATTTTCGCGCAAAAGTTGTTGATTTAACAAAAAATGAATTGATGAAGCGCCAACCATCATCATCTATTATCTGCTCAACAAACAATAAATCATCTGCTCGTATAGTTGAACTTGATCCTCAAACATCGTCGCCAAAAACTCTTCTTTCACAATGTTTTGATACACCAAAAAATGACTTAAAATTGCCAACAACACCTTATGATGAATTAGAAGAATATATTGCATTAAATGTTAGATTAAGTGAGAATGATGATATTTTATTATTTTGATTAAACCATAAGACAAAATTTCCAACATTATTTAATATATTGTTCAAGATTTTTATGCTATACCTGCATAAAATACCACTATCGAACGTGTTTTCTTGTCATCAAAAAATACAATTACAGATAAACGTACACGTCTTGGTACAGAGAAGATAAACAAGTTATTATTTTTACAAAAAAATCTGATTTTATTGAAACAAATTGCTAAACAACCAGTTAATGAAGCTGCTGTCACTGCAACAAAACGAAAGATGGTCCTTCAGCCACCCTGCACGAGCTCTTATGACAATCAAGAAGAATTAATAACTACTACATCTACCAAGAAATTGAAGTTGAATGAAGAAGATGATATTATCTTTTACGAGGATGATGAAGAACATGAAGTCGAGTTTTTTTAGAATTTATTTATATGGTACTAATTGTATATGAACATGTCATAGTATATGGATTTTCTACTTTTTTTCTTTTTTTGTATCTTTTGATAGAATTGCTTTTCAATAAATTAATAAGCATGAACAATGAAAAAAAACATAGATATGTTTGAAAAAATCTGATACACATTATTATGTAATATATCACCAGATCAACGGTTCCAAACACATTCTACCCATGTAAAAAAACGTATGATGATGAACGGGTAGAAACGCGTTTTCTAGAAATTATGACGCATTTCATCCACCAGGAATGCGTTTTAAAAAAAGAAAAACGCGTTCGAATGCGTTTCTCAAATACCAGAACGCGTTCAAACGCGTTTCTATTGGTGAACAATGCGTTTTGTATTATAATAAACGCGTCCGTAATGAACAAGTTTCGAGCCAACAGTAATGCGTTCTCATGAATCGCGCTGGTATTCGTTCGTGAATAACTCGTTTCCATAGTCAAAAAACCAACTTAGATAGGGACGCATAAAAACGTTTAAAAAAAGAACGTGTTTACAAATTTTCAGAACGCGTTCTTGAGTATAATGAAAACGAACATCCCATGTAGCCGATTTTTAGAAATAATGTACATTGCAATGCATTATTTTTCAATAGAAATGAAATGGATGCAATTACATGATAATGCAACCCAAATAATGCATTATAATGCATTTTTTATAAAAACCCATTGCAATGCATTGAAAGATCAACGTATTATAATGCATTGTTTGAGTTGCATTATCATGTAATTACATTCATTATTGTTAAAAATGCATTTTAATGCATTAAGAACGTCATACTTTATACTCTTATCACTTTACGCTTATCTCCTTATCGGTAACTGTATACCCTTAACTATATACTCATAACCTACATCCTTGTTCCTATACCCTTAATCCTATACTCTTAATCCTATGCCCTTAACCCTATACCCTTAACCCTATGCTCTTAACACTGTACCCTTAATCCTATACCCTTAACTCTATACCCTTAACCCTATACCCTTAATCCTATACCCTTAACCCTATACCCTTAATCCTATGCCCTTAACCCTATTCCCTTAACCCTATGCTCTTAACACTGTACCCTTAACCCTATACCCTTAACACTGTACCCTTAATCCTATACCCTTAATCCTATACCCTTAACCCTATACCCTTATGCCTACACTCTCACGCCTATATCCTTAACCTTATATCCTTATGTCTATACCCTTAATCCTATACTCTTAACCCTAGACCCTTACCCCCACACCATTAATCATATACCCCTAGTCCTATGCAGCTACATTCTTATGATTCTACCTCTTTGATTGTAGCTTGATATTGATTTCCTTTTGACCACATGCTATGACTTTATGTGAAGAACGAAAAAACAAAAGTTTTGCTATTGGATTGTATTTAAGGCATGGGTCAAAGTTATCCTGGAGAATGTCCTAGCTATTTGTAGTCTTTGATTCGTGTGCACCACGAACATATTAGCTTGGATTTATTCTTGATAAGTCTGCCCCTCGGTAAAGCTCGAGAAGTTCATTGCGATTCAAAGTAGAATGTTGGCGAAGTACAATGAAGTATCTGAGCATTATTATGTGATAGATGAACATAGAATTAATTCAAACTAATTGAAGCAAGTTTTGTCGTGGTAAACTTTAAGTCATTAAAAAGTTTGCGAGGATAACTTCGGCGCACTCCCGAAGTGTGATGAAGCACGAGACTTTCACTTTTTCTCCGTCACTTGAAACTTACACGTATCCTTTACTACTAAACCATTAGATCTATACGTTGATGACTGCACTTGGAAGAATGTTCGTTAAAAAGGTGTGATACATAGAAAGCGGTTAAGTAGTGTCATGGTCTGTATATGCCATCTTTTTCTGTATCATTGTTGTGACGTCATCGTATGTACTTTCCATCTTCATGCTCTTGCATTCTGTTGTCATGCGTGAATGCATATGTTCCCTTTCTAGAATGGTCATCTACATCCATTTTCTTAGTCTTTCTGCATAGATCATGAATGTTCTCTCTAGTACTTTCCAGCGAGTTTTTGATTCTCTACCAGCTTCTGAATAGTTCCTTTTATTTCCGTGCTCATATATATTTATATGCCTCACCCCTGCAACAACAAACGTGTTATACATACACGATAGAATTAAACTTGTCTTTGAACACCAATTGGTAAAGGTCGACAGCCTGTGTTACGCTTTGTGACATCTTATTTTTGAATTTGCGAACTATCTTATTGTAATCTCCTTTGCGTGAATAATGCAGTGTTGAAGTTTATAGATCAACATTCCAAGTTATGAATCAGAATCCATTAAAGTCTTACTGAATTATGTAACATCTAGACATGTTCTCTGAAACCACAAAGAGGTTTGACGGCATTACCAAACACTTAAGCATTGTTTCTAATGATGTATAATAATGCATTATCGGTCATTTGTACACTATTTTCGATAATGCGTGATAATGCATTGAAATTTTACTGAATTATCAAATATTGAGGCATTATTTCTGAAAATGCATTGATTTTCAATCCATTTTCGAGTATTAGAACATTATTCCTAAAAAATGCATTGAAACTATGAAAAATAATGCATTGTCATTAATTATTTGATGCATTTTACGAAATAATGGAAAATAATGTGTCAGTTTTGCACTATTTATCCATTATCGGCTACATGGGAAGTTTCAACATTATTTAAGATAATTCATTGAAATGCATTGTTGGTCAATGCATTGTTGGTCAATGCATTATATTGAATGTGAACATTATTTAACATAATGCATTGAAATGCGTTGAAGCTTTAATGTATTATCAGAATTTTCAACATTATTTAAAATCATGCATTGAAATGCATTGAAGTTTTAACGTGTTATCAGAATTTTCAACATTGTTTAAAATAATGCATTGAAATACATTGACTGCCAATGCATTATCAGAAATTTCAGCATTATTTAAATTAATGCAGTGAAATGCATTGTCAGTCGATGCATTATTCCGAATTGGAACATTATTTAAAATAATGCATTGAAATGCATTGACTGTCAATGCATTATCACAACGTTCAACATTATTTGTAAAAAGTTCTCAGAAAACGCGAAAATAATTAATTGAAATGCATGATTTCATAAAATAATGGAAAATAATGGATAATTTTCCATTATTTATCCATTATCGGCTACATGGGATAAGACTAAATGAAATTTATGTTTTATAATATATTGCAATAGATGAAACAAAAAAATGGTGTACATTGAAAACTTGCGTGTTTCAGTATGAAAGATTTTTTTAAAACTTTTATAGACAAAATAAGTTGAACTCAGTATGTTGAGATAGTGAGTTTTAAGAAGTATTTTAGTTTTCCTCCTTTTTGTTAGAATGTATTTTTACTTATATATATTTCCTAACATAACAGCCAAAGTTTATTTTTAAGCAATAATGATTGTAAAACTTGAAATCATTGTTTTAATCAATGTTAAGTTATTTATTTACAAGAATGTAAAAGTTGTTGCAGTCAATGCTCCTATTAAGAACAGTTTTTTAATGCTTAAAAGTTTTATTATTTTTCTCGGCTACCATACATATAAAACATATATTTTTATATACTCGAGTAAAGAAAAATTTTCTGAGTCGAATGATGTAAAAATCATCTCAGTATTTCAAAGATTGACTGAGTAATTAGCG